ACTACTAGTGCATTTACCCTATTTGTTAATTAATATTGTTTATAACAATTGATATAAATTACTTTCTGTTTTATTAATTGTGTGGTGGTCATATTGTATTAATTTGAACTGATTCAGATCATATGCAGCAAAGGAATAAGAAAATAAGCCTCCTTTTTTGAAAAATTGTATTAATTTGTTAACTTTGATTGAAAATAAAAATTATAAACAATTAAGAACTAAAAAATTGACCTTAAGGGATGTCTTAAGAATTTATTCGCCTTTAATTTAAAATAAAGAATACTAAAACCGGTTAAGAATTGTAGGCTGTAGACAGTTTTGAACAGTAAATTGTTTAAAAAATCCCATTATGCGCTGTTTGTAGATCCTTGGGCAAGCCCGGCCTGTTCCTGGTCGGGGCCACGAAGTCGGGGCCAGATCATGAAAACCCGACCGGGGCCAGGGCGGTAATCGGGAACAAAAGTGGCGATTTCTGCACGGGATATTACATTTAATATATGCTGTATAATATTTATATTAACCGACAGATTAGCTCAGTCGGATAGATGCCTCGCTTGGCGGTCGTTTAAGGACCAAGGGTATAGTACCCTTGGTTCGCGCCCATTTGGCTTGGTATTTTTCCGGCACGTGAGACAATCTGAGCGGGAGGTTTGACGTCGAGGTATAATGATGTGCACCGTCGATTATTGTCCGGTACACACCATTAGAACTCGACTGTCGATAAACCGGTTGTACTCAGGAGAGGTTTTCTACAGTTTCCCTCTCCACTGGCGAGAAAACCCATTAGACATTAGACGGGTGATCCAGGCAAATGCGAGTACTCCTAATTTTCAAGTCATTCTGTAGGCGCAAAACTTAGTATTAGGAAAATGTATATAAGAAATATTATGTAAGAGAAAATGTAAACACACTTGTATAGCTAGATAAGCTTAAGACGGGTGTATAAACCAAATAAATAAAAAAAAGAAAATAAAAATAATATTTATATTACATAAGATTTGTTCTAATCAGCCGCGCTTTAAACCCTTTGATGTTTATTGCACGTTAACTCCCTTTCTGTTGATTCTTTTTTTCGTTAGTTTTTCACAACTTCACACCGTACACTTAGTACACCAGATATTGAAGTGGCAAAAATCTTGCCTTTTGGTTTGACTAGAGAACAGGATTTCGCATCTTGTATTTAGAAGCATAAATTAGCTGCCTCAATTTAAAATTAATAATTTGTTAATTTTAAATGTTAATTTAAGTTCTTTATAAATTTATATTTATTCCCATTAAATTTATTTTATTTTCTTAAAAAAACTTATTGCCTTATTTTTTATATATTTTAGAATTATTATAATAAAATTTTTTAAATTTAAACATTTTTAGTTTAAAAGAAGCAATTAAATAAGTTAAATAATTCTACATTATAAATAGAACTTTATTATAAATTATATTCTTTTTTTCGCAATTATTACTGAATTACTGAGGAATAAAAATTGCAGAAGTAAAAGAACGGGACATTTCTTTCTTATTTGATTTATGTATTATTTTGTATGGAATTGTTTTATTTTAATTCTTTAGGGGAGAATCTCCCCGGGGATACCCGAACCGGGTATCCCAGGACACTTAAGCTTTTTGGTGAATAATTTGTGTTTATATTTCTGGAGTATTAATTACATTTTTTTATGTCAAACAGAATGCTTCTTTCAACTTTTATCATAAATTCATTTGTAAAATAATCAACCCTTTTAAGACAAAAATAAGGAAAAATATGAGTATTAAAATCCCAACCTTCAACGATTTGTCGGGTAGCCCCGGACATGCGCGAAAATATTTTATATTTTAATTATTGGACTTGATAAACTAACATCAAATTATATCTACAACAATGAAAATAGACCATGTAATAGAAATAAATTAAAAAATCTATTTAATATTTACAGAAAGTCAACATAAAATAAGGTTTTATAAGTCATTCAATGTGACGTAAATACATTTTCTAAAGTGTCCGGACACTTTCAGCTTTTTTAAAAAATTCAAGTTTCTTAATAAAAGAAAATGAAGAAACTGAGTCAATATTTCAAAAATAAAAGTTAAACTGTATTATATATAATTTGTAATTTATTTCAATAGTAAAAACACATTGTTCTATTAGAAATTAAGAGTTTCCGGAGCTACCCACTGCCCGGGGTTACCTGAATCTCCCCTATAGAAAGAGAACTAGAAACAAAAACTAATTTCAAAAAAATAATAATTTTAATAATTGTGGATTAAAAATAATTTAAAAATTATTTTAAAAATATACTTAATGTAAAATAAATACAACTATATCAATTTAAATTGACTTTCTGAAAAGTGAGAAAAAAATCGCGACTTTTAAAGTATGTGGGTGACTTCAAATTCTACCTCTGCTGCATGTTGGAATGACAATTTTCAATTAAAGGGTTACCAATTTTATTTTCGAGTCATTTATATATTCAAAATTACGAAAATAATATTCGCCGAACAAAACATGCCAGAATTTTTGTAAAAAAAAATGATTTTGTGGCAAAAAACCGTCAAAATTCTGCCTATTTTTACCTTAATAAATTAAGCTGTATTGAAAATTTATAATCTTAAATATTACAAAGCAGTTATTGATTATATTTTGATGATATGAACAGACAATAATTTCACAGATTTTCTTTGAGTATTCAAGCGGATCAATAGAAAAGTACAGAAGTAGGCAGAAATTGACTCTAAAAAATCAGTTTCTGCTCTCAAATTTCTGCCAGAGTATTAAAATTAGTGAAACCCACTCTTTTCTAATAAAATCTACGTGAAAACTCTTCAACAACCTTCCACTGCACGTAAAAAACACTTTTCCATTTCTTCAGTGGAATTTTCTATCATGAGGCCAAAAATCATCAGATGAAGCGTGGAACAGTAATGACATTTGGATTGATAATAATATGAGACATAAGCAATCAAGAATTATTTAACTTGCAGAAAAAATTCAAATTTAAGGCTATTTTTGAGAACTTTATCGCAACCGGTACACAGTGGCGAAAAATGTACTTTTTCGTTTCAAATCAATCTACAAATCAATTTTTGACCAAAACGATTTTTTTCTAAATCTTCGTACTTAAATTCTCTATCGATCTCTTGAGCCCGATTTTTGAACTTTTGTTTTTAAATATTTTTTAATAACAATAAATATTAAAAAAATCGTAAAAAATATTTTTTTTAGCTTCATTAATTAAGAAAATTAATCCAAAAACCTATTAAAATAATCTTTGAGTGTTTCTCATGTGTGAAAAAAGTATAACAATAAGTATAACAAGTTATTAATTTGTTTAAACAATTAATTGTTATTATTTTCTTATAAACTGTACTTATAAGGCTAGAAATTTCTAGTTTTTTCTCAATTATGCATTTTCCTGTGACTGCAACATTCATGTATCAAAGAAAAACTAAAAATTAATTATTTAAACTTTGTTTAAACAATTTATAGTTTTAAATTTTTTATATGATTGTATTTAGAAAAAACTAGAAATTTCTAGCCATATGTGCAATTTATAAAAAAGTTGCAATTGATTGTTTAAACAATTTAATAATTAAATTATTTTTTATCATTAGTAGATGTTTTACTCATAAAAATTAAAATAGTTATTGTTATTAAAAATATGTTTCAATACAAACATTCAAAAATCGGACTTGAGAAATCAATAGATAATTTAATTAAGTAGATTTAGAAAAAAAGAAAAATTGTTTTGGTCCTGTAGAGTAATTCGAATCGAAAAAATACATTATTCGCCACTGTGAGGTGTAACTCCAGTCCGCGTCTATCGCTACCGACTGCTAAAATTCATGCGCGGTTAAATTTAAATATGAAATTTCCATTGTATTTGAGTTTCTGACAGCAGACAGTAAGAAGGGAAAAAATATACAAAAAATATTTAGTCTAAAAAGTTAGGACATTTGAGGAGTTCGTTAAAATACAATTAAATCAATGAGCATATTTTTTAATAGATATGCACATACACACATAAATTCCTACACGAATCTTTAAATTTTACGTTCTGAAGTCATTACGCAATTAAATTCTCTCAAACTCTATAAATACTAAAAATTCGGGACAGTAATGACAGGGACAGCAATGACATTCTGCCGAAAATTGAATTTTATTCATTACATATGTGTTTTAAGATATTTTGGCAAGTGGCATTCGAGAATACATGCAAATCCACCTGGAAATTTGTTATTCCCAACTAATTTTCACCATTTCCTGAATTTTTGGCAGACAGGACAGCAAAGACAAAATAAATATGATATATTCTGCCTGTCTGTCGATTTATAACGATAATCAGAAAGTTGCAGATTTTTTTTTATTTTCGAGATTATAAATCAATATTATAGAAAATTTCATACTGAAACCTATACATAAAATTACAAAATCTTAAGGATACTTGAGAAGTAAGCAGGTTTTTTCGAAGGTAAAATTGAAAAAGTGGGGGACACCTGTTCTTGACTTTTTTTACAAACAAAAATCGAAAAATTTTCTTAAAACGAGTCAAATTATCAGACTATAAGGGTAGATAAAGCCGTGAAATTTTTTTTTCAAGTTTCAGTAGACCATGTGTGAACAGTATGAACATTTAAAGCTTACAGAAGTAGCCCTGGGACAGGGACAGCAATGACATTTCTGCCTGTTTCTGACGGGTTATCTCGTTTGCTTTTCTACCAATTGGTATCAAACTTGGAGGGTCAATTGATTACACCACTAACTACCGGGAAAAAGTGAAACTTTTTCCCAGTAATAATAAGCCTACAAGTCACTTTATGGAGCGGGGGAAAGCAATATTCCCTTTTAAATGAAGTCACTTATGTAGGCATTTAAATTTTCCATTTTATAAAAAATAACATTGGTGACAAGAAAAATCGTTCCTTGTGTTTTTGTTGTCATTAAAGTTTATTTTAAATTCGCATTCCTGAGTAGTCAGATTTGTCTCCGACTCACGGAGTGTCGATTTTAGAGCCGGAGTAGCGGCGAGGAAGGGTTGTCTCCCAGCCAAAGCAGCGACTACGAGGATCAAGAAGAATTAGAGAGTCAACACTGCGCTGCCATCCACACAGTACGTCATCACAATCCTCATTCAAACAGTATACTTGCATCTCTTGTCTTATTTTCCACGCACTCTCTTTCTCACCTATTAACCTGAAAATTTGCACTTTCTCTCAAAAAAGTTTTTTTCTTTTTCGATGCATGCAACGAAATCCTGGTAAATAATTCACTTTACTTCTCGTAGTAAACTTTTAATTTCCTGTCAAATGATATATCATCAACTTCAAGTTTTCTATAATATTTTTCATAATTTTATAACAAAAAATATAAAAGAATAATTATAATAAAGTCTCGGACGTTAAAGTCCGAGTGGTTTTAATAATAATAAGATAAACTAATTCCTTTATGTATTTATTTCATATTTTTATTTTACATCTATTTATTATTGTATTTATATAACATGATTTTACGTTTTTTGTACAATACTTCGATTACTTTATTTTACTGTGAACTAAGATCTTTTTATGTTAATTGGTTTTTGTTGCATATATTAGACTCCCCGAAGAGGAAATCCGTGGATTTCGAAACGTTGGAGTAACATTAAAGAATCTTTGCGAATCTTTGTCTGAATGTCTACGTTTATCTTATTATTATAAAAGAATAAGTTTATTATTACATTTAAGTTTCATAAAAAATAAATAGAATAAAATCCTAAAAAAAATGCTTATTATTATTAGTAGTTCTGTTAGGTATTAAAATTTTATAATAATCACTAAATTAAGTTAAAATTTATAAAAATGAAGTTTGAAAATAATTAATAAATTAATAATTATAAAATTAAAGGCGTGGATATAATATGTGCCGTTACGCGAAGTTGCAAGGGATAATATCAATAATGTATCAGTGAACGGCCCAGAGACGCTTACTGCTACCTGCGGCTGGTATTATCCCTTACAACCGCGCGTAGCGGCACATATTGTATTCACGCCTTCAATTCAAGTTTCAAAATAATTAATAATTTAATTATTGATAGTAATATTCGACAGTAAGGGACGCATGAATATTCCCCACATTGAACTTGCAACAATTTTTGTGGTATCGAAATAAAAAACTTAAAATATCTACTTATTAGAACTGCAATAATTCAAGTTTTCTTTTAAACAAATTTTTATCACAAGAAATTAGTATTTGAAGAAATATTTATTAACTACTTTTTTTCATTTGACTGTATTTTAATTTATAAAAATATCCATGTAGGGAAATATGAAAGAATAGAACATTTAGTTGTTCATAGTTTTTTATAGTATGTATTTTAAAAAATAAAAATTTTGCTTAAATGAAATTTTATGTACATAAAAGTTTATATAAAAGGATTATAACCTAAAAAATTTGTCAATTATCAGAATTTTTATATCGTAGTATTTCTATATTATCGAATTTTTATGTAACGTAAAATATATGTAATCGAGTTATAATCTCCCAGAATTTATATTTAACATAATTTTGATGTACAACTATTTACATTTAGTTGAAATTATATTTAAAATAATTTTTATTTAATCAAATTTTTATTTAACCATATCTGTAGTTAACCGAATTTTTGTATGAGTGAATTTCCAAAGTACCAAATTTATAAAACATTTTTTTTTTGTTTTTTTTTTTTAAATGACTTCAGGCTTAGCCAACTGTCAGAACACACACTCTTATATACCAACTTGTTTTTGCGTTTCTACAGAACGACTTTGAGGTTAGGAGTACTCGCATTTGCCTGGACCACCAGTCTAATGGGTTTTCTCGCCAGTGGAGAGGGAAACTGTAGAAAACCTCTCCGAGTACAACCGGTTTATCGACAGTCGAATTCTAATGGTGTGTACCGGACAATAATCGACGGTGCACATCATTATACTTCGACGTCAAACCTCCCGCTCAGATTATCTCACGTGCCGGAAAAATCCCAGGCTAATGGGCGCGAACCAAGTACCCTTGGTCCGCCCACCGAGCCAGGCATTTATCCGACCGAGCCAATCTGTCGGTTTATAAAACATAGAATTTTCAAAACGTCGAATTTCTAAAGCATTAAACTTTTAGAATCTTGTGGCCAAAAAAGTTAGGACAAATGAAAATTCGACATTCTAAAAGTTTAATGCATTAGAAATTCGACGTTTTGAAAATTCTATGTTTTATAAATTTGGTACTTTGGAAATTCACTCATACAAAAATTCGGTTAACTACAGATATGGTTAAATAAAAATTTGATTAAATAAAAATTATTTTAAATATAATTTCAACTAAATGTAAATAGTTGTACATCAAAATTATGTTAAATATAAATTTTGTGAGATTATAGCTTGATTACATATATTTTACGTTACATAAAAATTCGATAATATAGAAATACTACGATATAAAAATTCTGATAATTGACAAATTTTTTAGGTTATAATCCTTTTATATAAACTTTTATGTACTTAAAATTTCATTTAAGCAAAATTTTTATTTTTTAAAATACATACTATAAAAAACTATGAACAACTAAATGTTCTATTCTTTCATATTTCCCTACATGGATATTTTTGTAAATTAAAATACAGTCAAATGAAAAAAGTAGTTAATAAATATTTCTTCAAATACTAATTTCTTGTGATAAAAATTTGTTTAAAAGAAAGCTCGAATTATTGCAGTTCTAATAAGTAGATATTTCAAGTTTTTTATTTCGATACCACAAAAATTGTTGCAAGTTCAATGTGGGGAATATTCATGCGTCCCGACAGTAAAATAAAAATTGTAATTTAAGATCAGTCTAGCTCTCTCAGCTTGCATGTAAAATCCTTTAAAATCCATTGCGTTAATTTAGTATTGACTAACAGAGAAAAAATGTTAGCTATTTCTGCTAATTCTTAGCTGTCTCATAAGCTACTGTATGAATAGCAATTATTATTAGCTATAGCTAAAAATTAGCTATCCATATAATTTGATCTCATTTTTCTCAGCGCTGTTTTAAAAATGTTTCATCTTAATTTCAGACTTCCTTTATTTATTTATTTATTACATTTCACTTTGGACCATAAATGGATAACTTAAGTAAAGCTATAAATGTGTTATAAATATATAATTTTAAATTTAATCCTTCTACCCGGAAAAAAATTTCTTGTAAAATTTACAGGATTTCCTGTGCCATCTATGAGCCGCACGGTTGTAGTATCCACAAACGGCTGAGTTTGTGGAATACACAAACCAAACTGTGTGTGTCACAAACTGCAGCAGACGAACTGCAGGATTTCTTGGTGCTACACGGAGAGAGAATATATATTAAATTTTTTAAAAGTATTTTCAAATTGGGGAAAAAGTGCTTTCAAAGCGAAATTTTGATATAAAAAGTACTAAACTTTAAAAAAACTTATGTGAAATTTAGTATAATTATATCAAATATCAAGAATATTAATTAAATTCTAATATAACTTTAATAAATTTCACAAAAATTTTTTTAAAGTTTAGTATTTTCTATATCAAAATTTCGCTTTGTTGCACTTTTTCCCCAATTTGTAAAATACTTTTACAAAATTTAATATATATTCTCTCTCCGTGTATTACAGATTTGTTGAAAACTTTTGTAATATAAATTTTGTAATATAAATCGAAAGCTTTTAAAAAGTAGTGCATGAATTTTTGTAGAGGGTTATTCTTTTTTGCTAAACAAAAAATTAAATAAAAAGAAGAAAACTCCGAACAAAATTACATAACACTGTAACACAAGCGTTGGCAGTGATTTCCACACATATAAACTTGGATATCTTACCTCGAATAAGATATTCCTACGAAAAAGTTTGATTTAATTTTTTCTAATTGATAAAAATTAATAAAGAAGGTTACATATAGCATCGAAAAGCTTCCTATGAAATTTTTTTTTCTTATTGTAAAACTTGAAACAGTGATATCTGTTTTTCCAACAAATTTTTAACATAAAAAAATTAGCAAAACTCTTTTACGCGTGTTATTAAACAAATAAGGAAGAAGGTGATTCATTAAATTATAATAGTTTTTATTTCATTCAAAAATCATTCATTTAAAGAGACAATTTTTTAAATAGAAAATTGTTTAAACTTTTAATTTTATTGAAAATATTTTAATGATTTTTTTTATTAAAGACAAAAAGTTTGAAAAAGTTGATAAATTTAAACCTTATATTTTCAGCAGTTCCGTACATTACATTTCTTTTGATCACCCGCTTATTTGTTGTGGATACAAAATTGAAAGTAAAATAAAATTTAATTTTGTATTATTTTACAACAATAATAATTATATATTTATGTCTAATGATATCATTTCTTAATTAGTCGATTTTTTGAAGACAGGTGAATAAAACACATTCACTTTTTTAACGACGACGTTTCGGAGGCACGGTTAGAAAAAAATACTCTTTAAGGCTATGTCCAAGTTGTGAAATGTAAACAAACCATAAGGTTACTAAACCAGCACTAAAATCGCAATTTTGCGACAGCCAATTCTCCCACAAAAAATAACATTTTTACACTTTCTTTACGAAAATGGAAAATTAGAGTATCAAAGTTTCCAAAAAAATCATTTTTGACTATGAGCAATAAAAAGCAATTAGTAAAATAACTAATTAAAATGACCTGTAAAACAGCATTTTTGACGCGTCGCGAAAAATAAACTGTTTGAGTATATCAACCGCACTGACGATGAAGAAGTTATCATGTCAGCGATTGGACCTTCAACATGTGGAAGGGGAAATTTTTCCCTTTCCTCCTTAAAATTAAAAGAGAAAGGGTAAAAACTTCTTCATCGTCCGTGCGGTTGATATAGTCAAACAGTTTAATTTTTCGCGACGTGAACTCTGTTGCTCTCTGCGCGTGCGCAGGCCGTACCAAGGTCGCAATGACATCACCATGCAAAAAGGCACATTCTCTTTTTGACTGAAACTCAGTGGTTTTCTAATTTTTTCAGTTATTCAAAGTTTAGTAACCAAATTCGATACGTTAGTTCACCATTTCTATAAAGAAAATGTGAATTTATCTTTATTTACGCAAATGGGAACAGCGAAAAAATGCT